AAGTTAAATAAATTATTAAAAAAATAATTGTTTTACATCATGAGATTCAAAATATGCATATACAACTAAAATTAGTATATTGTCAGTAAACTTTATATATGTAAATTAGCCAGACTTCTTCGGCTGGTCCTTACTGGGAAAAGGAGGGACCATTTTTGTTTGGTGCCTGGATCATGCTCAGATTCTTTGAACTTTCTTCATGCCAGGAGCTATGAAGGGCCTTGGGTCCAGGGAAAGGAAGCCTGACCCTTCCAAGCTGTCTTCTCAGGGAATGAGAACTGTGCTAAGAGTGTTGGTGATGTTATAAGGGCTGATGGTGGGTTAGGAAGTTCACAAGAGGAAGCCCTGATTAACTGCACCACTACATGATGAAAGACAAATAGACAGAGTGGGGGGAAGCAGGACCAGAGACTGAGGGTTGAGGGGATTTTGTTTGAGGCCTGAAGGCTCTTGATGGAAGGGCCTACAACCAGTGGAAAGGTCGGTAGCCACTACCGAGAGTGGTCAAGGTGGACAAGACCTGGAGTTTCTCCTCGAGAAACCTCATCCCTACGACTTTGATTAGGGTGGAATCCGTATCACAGACTGGAAACTGACACTCATCCCTAAGACCCCTAAAAGTCAGATGTCACGAGCCACCCAAAGGTGCTGTCTGTGAGGGGGCAGACACCCTTTGCCCAAGTTCAATGCCTGAAGCCCCAGAGATATTAATGCAGAAAGAAAGCCTAAAACCTACGAAATTGATCTGTCTACCTAACTAGCAAGTTCACAGCTTAACTGAGAGGAGAACTAGGTCATAATCAGAAAGATATTAATCAGATAGGCTGAATGTTTAATCACACCATGCTGTCTTTAGCCTCAGGTTCCCTTTGCCAGTCTCTCTGCTGCCAGGGTAGGCTAATCCTCCTGGATAGTCACAAGCCGTCCTTCAGATATGCTAATAAATTCAATCAGACTGCCTCCTTCCCTTTGCTGGAGCCGGCATGTCCGTCAGTGAGGTGCCTCTGTCTATCTCGAAGCTCATCTATTCTGGGCAATGCTGTACAGCCTCCAGCCCTGCAGACAATCTCCACCGATGATGGAGTCTGTCATTGGCAGTATAGACATTCCACTAGCACCACTGGAGTTGATTTAAAACTGCAGAAGCTGGGAAACTGTGCCTTGCTTTCTAAGGGGCGGGTATTAAGTCTGGGACTTTGTGGGCCTGGCTCAGTCACATGTTAGGAGCAGCCAGAGACAAGTAAATGCTAGGTTTGTCTAGGTCCCAGCCCCAGTGTCTGTCATGACACTCTGGTATCTGCAAACTTCCTTCCGCATGGGATGGAGTAGACAAACATTTGTCAGGAAGGGATGAAAGAGTTGGAACAGCTATGGCACTCAGAGCCTATTAAAGTTTACTTGGGAATCAATCCACAGACTTAAACCTTTTCTGTGTAGCCCAGGCTGACCTGAAACCTTCTATGCAGACCATGCTGCCCCCCCCCCCCCCCCAAGGACTTCAATCAAAGGCTTGCACGACTCAGTGCAGCCACAAAACCAGACTTTTAAAAGATGGCCTGGGGCTGAGGTGTAACTCAATGGAACCCTAGCCTTGCATTCAAGAAACCCTTAGGTTCCAGTCTGACACAGTTGTTTAATCTCAGCTTTAATCCCAACACAGGAGACAGGCCAGTGAATCTGAGACCAGCCTGAACTACATAGCAAATTCTGGGTTAACCAAGTCTCAAAAGTTAAACAGAAGGAGTCCACACAGCACCTCAGTACTGGAGACACCCTCCCTGACTGTACACACAAAGGAAAATGGCCCAATCTCCCTGGTTAGGAGAAAGTCTGCCTCGCCTGCAGACCCTGCAGAAACAAGCTCACTCCTCAGCACAGAATCTAGCTATTTTGGAGACATGATCTATAACCCCACCTCTCCTGTCTCCACTGTGCACCTTACAAAGAGCAGGAACTTAAACGATCATGTCATTCTTTTGCTGTTTGACAGCACGTAGAAACAACGAAAACCATGGTGGAAAATTCCTGTCATCTCAGTACTTGAGGGGTAAAGACCGGGAGCCTGCTAGGGCTACACAGCGATTGCAATCTTTGTTAGGCTGAAACCAAGGAGTTAACAAGGAGAGCATCCGGCCACCTTCAGGCCTCAAGCTAGCTTTGCCCTGCTCTGGAGAGAAGACTCTCCCACCAGGTAATGAGCTCAGACCTCTACTGGAGATAAGAGCCACAGCATTCAGCCCACTTCTAGGAAGAGATCGGTATCCTTTTCATGGTAGCACATAATTAATAGTTTGCAGATCTGCCCTAAGAACGCTCCTAGCCACCTGGTGAGGGGGTGGCAGGGGCTCTGGGTCTGTACACACCAGCCTCAGCTTCTAGAAAATCTGATCTAGACCATTCCTGCTCCATTTAAAGACACCATGAAAGGGGGGAAAAATGCTGTCTTTTAAAATCCCATTTCTGTCTTCCTTTTTTTTTTTTTTATTGGTTTTATTTTTTTGAGACAAAGTTTTTCTCTGTGTAACAGCCCTGGCTGTCCTGGAACCCAACTTTGTAAAGCAGGCTGGCCTCAACTCACTGAGATCTGCCTGCCTCTGCCTCCCAAGTGCTGGGGTTAAAGGTGTGCACCACCACTGCCCATCTTTAAAATCCCATTTTCAAAAAGCAGGGTCTAAAACGACAAGCCTGCAAGGCCACTTCCCAATTAGGAAGAAAAACCTGGGGTTTCAGTAACACACACGGATTTCAACATCTCATACATGGCAAACATCTGCTGATCTGTAAGATTTCACTGAGCTGCAAGTTCTCTGCCGTGGCTGAAGCAGAGACAGAACTGTCTGCTGCACAAAGTATTTCATATAGAACCCGGGTTCCTTTCACCCAAGGGAGGGATATAAAGCTGCAGAGGCCCAGTATGCACCAGCCCTGGGTTCCACACCCAGCACCACAAGGGAGAATACAGACAGACAGGCCCAGAGGCATTCATCTGTCTCAAGAGTCTGGCATACAAAACGTTCAATACACATTTGCAGGCTGGGGTGGCAAGAAGATTCCAAGGGAGGTGGGGGGGGCTTACAAAAACTTGCTTTATTAACACTTTGGATATTAAGTTTAACATTTTTTAAAGGGTTTGCTTAAAGTATTATTCACAGCCGGGTATATCAGTGTATGATTTTATTCCTGGTACTCCAGAAATAGAGGCAGGTGGCTCTCTCCAGTTTTGGGCAAGCCAGGGCTACACAATAAGGTCCTGTCACAAAATACCAAATACATATTATTAACTATAATAGGCTAATTACACTGTATCTATTTTGTGTGTACAAGTAGGGACATGAGTACCACAGTGCCCATGTGGAGTCAGGAGTTATCTACCATGTGGGTTACAGGGACTGAAAGGCCATTTGGCTTAGTGGCAGGCTCTTTACACTGAGCAATCTCAGAGGCCCTAAAAGAGTTGAATAATCTCAATTTTATGAGATCAGAGTAAATATACTAACTTATTTAAATATATACTGATTAAAAAGCTTTTCCTATATGATCAAACACATTACACTTGTTGTCACTGTGAAAGTGTATAGTGAGTGATGCCTGCTAAAGTGAAAACAGCAACAAACACTAAGCTAAGGGCCACTAAGAAGGCTCAGTGGCTAAACACACTTATTCCCAAGGCTGATGATCTGAGTGCCATCCCAGGAACCCACATGGCAGGCCAGAACCTACTCCAGCAAGTTGTCCTCTGATTTCTACATGTGTGCCTTGGCAAGCACACACCTTCACAATCAGTTCCGAGGTGCAATTTCCAATAGTGTTTCAGGAAGAAAGGGAGAGGAGACTAGGTGTGGTGGGGTAGAGCATGCCTATAATTCCTGCACCTGGACATTTGGAAGGAAGAGGCAGGAGGATCTGGAGGTGAAGACCAGCCTTGGTTACAGAGAATTAAGCCTCCCAAGGGCTCTGTCAAACCCTAAGAAGAAAACTCACTTTATAAAGCAATAAGGAAACTGAGGCAACATTGAATGCCCTCAATTGGTCTACTAGATTGTTACCTGATGAGATTAACAAATGAAAATCTGTTGAATAAACAGAATTATCCTAGGGAAACTTCTTCCAAAGTGGGGTCGTGGAAGACACTGGACAGAACACCTTTGGGACGGGATGGGGTGTGGGGGGGGTGTTGGAGGGGTCCGTCACAGCCAGACTGGGAGACACAGCCAACACCCTTGGGTTTCCTCCAGCTGACTGGCAGTGTGTCCAGGTGGGAATCAGCACCTTACAGTTACCTGCAGAGAGGGTGCTTCACAGGCATTCGGTAGATAGCTTGACCTACTGAATGCAAATTAAGTGTTCTACACTAAAAGTGTTGCAGTCAGAACCACTCCCAGTCCCTTTGGGGCATAAAGGAAACTGCTCAATGAGGGCAGATCCACCATTATCCCCCACTTAACTACACAGAGGGAAGCAGCAGGACTCCTGAACATCTTAATCAAGATGAAAGAGGTGACTACCCCAGGGCTACTAGCATGTGACCCAAGCGATATGCAAATGTATTGAAAAATAGCCTAAGGTCAACAGGATCCTGGTCGGTTCCGGTCCACAGTAGGGACAGGCCTACCTTTCTACAATTAAGATAAAAACAAAGAGACCCTTTATATTTCACTAAGTCTGGAACAGTGGGGGCAAATGATGCTAACATCTATGCCCCCCAAAAAATAAGCTTTTGGAGGGAGAGGTGGAGCATCTGACAGTATGCATGGTGACAGCTGTCCAGGACTAGGTATTGGCATGGTGTTTCAGGGGTACAGCAGGGAGAAGTGAGGTGTATCTATAGTCTTACAGTTAGAATCCTTGTCTAGAAGCCCGAGAGGCACAAACAGTCCTCTGGAGAGCCTCTGCTCCCAGGGAACCTAGATTTGAATTTAAGAAAATAAACCATGTTAGACCTGCAGCCCAGAGTCCCCACCCACAGCCTGAATCCAGGCCTTGCACTGCCCACCACGCACCTTGGATGGTTCTCTTGAAGAACGCCTTGCAAGCCTCGCAGGAGGCCACACCATAGTGGTAGCCAGAGGCAATGTCCCCGCACACGAGGCACAGACGCTTCGGGATGGCATTAATCATGTACTCGCACTTGATGTCGTCCACCATACCACTAGCACAGTCCTCGTAGCTCTTGCGGCACGGAGTGCCCCCCAGCCCCGCACCTGTGAACATAGGCGGCGAGTCTAGACCGTTGGTGTGGGTGCCCAGGGCCATGCCAAAGCCACCGCTGGCGTCCGAGGAGCCGCTGGGACTGTGGTGGCTGAGGGCATCAATGCCCGAGGATGGGCTGGATGGCTCCGTCTTGATAAAGGAGCCGCAACTGGAGCCCAGGTGGCGATCTTCGGAGGCCATTCGGTTCAGCAGCCTGCGGACACAAAAACAAAACGCGGGAGTCAGTCCTCTCAGCAAAGTAAGAGGGCGAATGGGGCTTAGGCCTAGTGGGCGGGCCACGTGGGCGTGTCTGCAGCTAGGGCGCTGGTGAGATGCATTGGTGGCCAGACCAATAGCAGGCGCCCAGAACCAGTTTCTGTGACTTCAGAGTGCTAAGAAACTTTGGAATTAGCAAACTTGAAATCAGACACCTGTGCTCTGCAAATTGCTGGCCAAAGGGGGAATAAGATGATAGCTATCCTTCCTAAATATCTGGCCAACCTTCCTACCTTGACAGTAAGTGGAAGTTGTCAATAGACCTGTCCCAAGCCTCACCTCAGGTACTCACTGTAAAGGGGCCTTCAGCTCCTCTCACTTCCTCCAACCACAATGAGTTGTGAAGTCCAAGCTTGGGACTTTCCCCAGTCCCTCACTTTTACCAAGATTGCCAAGTCATCTAACTGGAAGAAAGGGGCAATTTGACCAAAGGCACCAACCAACCAGAGTGACTGCTGTTGATTTTTACCTGTGGTCCAGGCTTGGTAATGGAGGTCCTATCCAAAGTGTGATTTCTTGACCCTCTCTATTTTTCCTTTTTACATTTGGCTTTGTTTTTAGAGGCAGGGTTTCTCTATGTAGCTCTGGCTGTCCTAGAACTTGCTCTGTAGACCAGGCTGGCCTCAAACTCAGAGACTTGCCAACCTAAGGCATGCACCATCACAGCCCATTTTCTATTTTTCCCTTCTTAACCACTGGATAATCCAGCTTGCACCTACCCCCCCCCCACACACACACACACGACAGTCTCCATTAGAACACATAAGGGAATCAGTCAAACCCCGATTCTACACAGCTCTGTTTTTCCTCCTACTCCCTCTCTTTTTGAGATGGAACCTGTGAGAGTAGCCCAGACTGGCCTAGAATTCATTAAGTAGTTCAGTCTGACCTCTAGCTCTACCCTACTGCCTCAACCAAGGAATTACTGGGATTACAAGCCTGCACCACCATGCAACTTTTCAGGGTCTCTCTACGAAGCCCAGGCTGGCATAGAACTATGTAGACCAGACTAGGCTCAAATTCACAGAAATCTGCTTGCCCCTGCCTCCAGAGTGCTCGGGATTAAAGGCGTGTGTTGTGTAACTCTTAATCAGAGTTGTTTTTTCTTTTAGAGATGGAACTCCAGTCTCATGTAAACTAGGCAAGCACTTTGCTTACCACCTCTACTTCTTTCACCTGAAGTTCTTTTTAGCCTGGAACCTCCCAGAATGCTCTGGAGTCTCACCAGTATGGCAGACCTTTGGGATCCCTGAGAACTGTGGGATAATACTGTATTTCTGCTTATTGGAAGACCTGCCTCTCCAGCCAAGTTCACATGAAGGAGACTGGACTGAAGGAGTGTTCAAAAGAACCTACTTGTCCACTGAGTTTGGTTAGGATTTGGGTCTGAGGCTGGAGACATAATCAGATTGCCTCAAAAACTGTCTAGAGGTGACAAGCATGGTGGCACCCACCTTTAATCTCAGCAACTTTGGAGGCAGAGACAGGAAGATCTGTGAGTTTGAGGCCGGCCTGGTCTATATAAAGAGTTCCAGGACAGCTAGGACTACAAAGAGACCTTGTCTCAAACAAATAAAACCTGTCTAGAGGCATGATTCCCAAAAGTGGCCTCACTCTCAGACATGCCTCTATGCAGGGACAGAGTACAGACCATCTTGTGTACCCCAAACAAGTGAAAAGGCAAAGGGGAAAATCTTGGAAAAACAACAGGAACAGAGAGACTCCTGAGGGGCTGGAGAGATGGCTCAGGGTGTCTGCTCTTCCAGAGGTCCTGAGTGCAATTCCCAGCAACCACATGGTGGCTCACAGAAAGACTCTTGGGCAGGAAGGAAGATCTCAGAGCTGGAGGGCTCACACCCCCAGGATCTCTGGAAGGTAACTTGCTTGTCAACTCTTTCCCGTAAAGGGTGGGTGGGAAGCTTTGTTAGTACAACCAAGGCCACAGAGTTGTTAATGTGACCTGCTGAGGGGGCTTTTGATCCCACTGAGACACAATTACATTCAGGACATCTCCTGGGGTTGTCACTCATCTGCACATGAACTTGTCTAGTGAGAGGGAGCTGCGGGCCCTGGATGACAGACCCAGGCAGTGGTCTCAACCTTCCTGATGCTGCAACCCTCTAATACAGTTCCTCAGGTTGCTGTGACCCCACCACCATAAAACCATTTCACTGCTACTTCATAACTGTAATTTTGTTACTGAGGGGTGGGTGTCTCAGTTCCTAACACCATCAGAAATACGTGGTTTTCCATGGTGGCGACCCAAGATTGAGAACCTCTGCTACAAGCTCTTGTTTTCCAGCTTCCTGGAATGTAGTTTGCAAAGACGGGGTCCCCTGGTCCCCACTATGTTCCTTCAGCCTGGAGATCCCACCTCCTTTTGTAAGCAGTGGGTCCCTGGTTAACGGTCTTCTCCAGACCCTTTCTACATCTCTGGCTGGTGCGTTTGTCATCTTCCTGCGCACTGCTACCCAACACCCCTCTATCCACCAATGAGGCAGCCTGAGGAAATAGCAGGGCACCAACTGGAGGAAGTCGGAAGGAGCGCACGGCCTAAGGCACTGTGGGACTCCTCCCCACATGTCCTTCCACACAGGGACAGGGAAGACGACCACCAATTCTCTCCAGCTTCTAAAACCCATGTGAAGCCCAGAACTCCCAAATTCCCTAATTCTACTCAGCCTTTCACAGGCTCTGAGTACACCAAAGATTTCCCAAGAGACTCCTTGACACGGGCAGTGCAAACAGCCACTTGTGTTCAACACATACTGTAGGCTTTCTGCATCCCCCTCTGTCTCTGGAGGCACAAGAAGCATTTACCCAGAGGGAGGCAGAGGAGGCTGCAGTTTCTCCTGGGTGGGTATGGGCAACAGTTGTCCACTGCCCTCCCAGTCTTGAAGCTCAGCCTACCCTGAAAAGACACTGGAGGTGTCCCAAGTCCTGGCTTTCTCTCCAGTCAGTCCTGTGACATGATTCAGAAGTCCCCAAGGCATCCTTCAGTGTCTGGGACCCCCAAGGCTAAGAAACTTGATCCTGGTCTCAGAGTTGGTGTAGAAGCAGCTAGTAATTTAGTATCTGAATCCCAACCCAGGGGCATTTGGTTTAATGGTGTTATTTCTTTATCTCCCCTTCCACCTCTCCCTCCTCTTCCCTTCCTTCCTCCCTACCCATCTCTTGCTCTTCTTTCTATTTGTTTTGTTTTGTTTTTGAGACAGGATCTATGTGGTCTTGTCTGTCCTGGAATTCCCTCTGTAGATCAGGTTGGCCTCAAACGCACAGAGATCCTGTTGCCACAGATTTTTGAGTATTGGCATAAAAGGCGGTACCACCCTAGCTGGCTATTTTATTATCTTAATTGTGTGTGTGTGTGTGTGTGTGTGTGTGTGTGTGTGTGTGTGTGTGTGTTCATTCACACATGAGCGCAAGTGCCCTTGGAGGGCAGGAGGGTGGGAGCCCTTGAAGCTGGAGTTATAAGCAGCGGTGAGCAACCTGACATGGGTTCTGGGAATGAACTGAAATCCAAATAAAGAGCAGTTAGTGCTCTTACCCTCTGAGCCATGTCTCCAGGCTGGACTCTAACACACTATTCTCTTGCCTTAGCCTCCCAAGTGCTGGGATTATAGGATTATAAAGTGCTTACCCTTCACCACATATAATTTAGCTTTCTCGTCTCCATGGCTATTCTAGCCCTATCACATCAGCTGCTGGCTGCCTGACAGGAAGAAGACAAACACAACCCAGTCTCCAGGTCAGACGCCCCCTCATGAAAGAATCACAGGTCAGCAGACACCCCTGCTTCTGGTCTTCTTTGACTATAAGATCCCTCAGAGGCCTTGGTTTGATTCTTTTTCTTTTTCACTCTCAGGCCCCAGCTGCCTGCTCCTCCACTCCAAGGCTTGTCAATTGACTCCAGCTGCCATCCACTGAGATCCAGCTGTCCTTCTGGATCTTTGCTTTTTTTGTTCGTTGGCTTGACTCTTGGTGTTTTGAGATGGGATCTTACTAGGTAACCTAGGGTGGCTTGGTTTTCACTACAGAGCTCAAGCTAGCCTTGGACTGAAACCTGCCCTGTCTCTCAGTCTTTGAGAGCTGAGATTATAGGCGTGAGCCACCACACCTGACCTGGGTTCTTCTTCAGTACCGTTGCATTTAATCATCATACTCTATCTGCTAGAGACTGTTTCCCCTGCCTTACAGAATAGACAGCAGGGGCTCCAAGCCTATTCAATTTACCAGAGCAGTGGGAGAGTGATCCCTGTCAGCAGATCTGGTTCCTGTGTCAGAACCCCACCCCCCTGGTTCCAGGGCTGAGTCCACAGAAACTTTGTCTTTACAGTCTCCCAAATTATAGATGGTGTCTTACTGTCCTCAACAGACCCGAAGTCAGAGCAGAAAACTCTTGGCAGGGCTAAACTGTGAAACTGTCTCAAACCCAAGGAGGAGAAAAAGAATGGAGAATTCTGAGACAGGGAGGGAATTCTTTTCTGATCAACCTGGTTTCGTGTACCTGGTGGGGCAAAGAAACTCACTGAAGACACCAGACTCTCTGGGGCACTTGGCCACGGTCTGTCTGTCCCTGACTTCAGGCACTTACTCACAGCAAAATGTAAAGGAAGGACAGAGAGAAAGGAGTCCAAGAAGACCGCACCAAGTGAGGCAGTGCATACCTGTAAACTTAGCAAATGGGAGACAGAGGCAAGAGGACTGAAGCAAATTCAAGGTCAGCCTAGGCTACGTAGTGAGACCCAAAAGAAAGAAAGGGAAGGGAAGGGAAGGAAAGAGGAAGGAAGGAAGGGAGGGAGGAAGGGAGGGAGGGAGGAAGGGAGGGAGGGAGGGAGGGAGGGGGGGGAGAAAGAGGAAGAGGGGGAGGAAGAGATGGGCATATTGATGCTAAGAGGGAAGAAGGGAAGAAAGAATTGAATGAATGAAGGAGTGAG